GAGGATAACAAGTTACAAATTTTGTTTTGGTAGGATATATATGTATTTTATTTCTATTACTATGAAATTCATAAATGAAGTAGTTAATAAATGAAATAGTTAATGGTCGGGTTATCATTATCCTTTTTGTAGTAATGAATCTTGTATGTGTTCCTAAGAAAAGGAACTTGTTCACTTTTTGGGGTCTCAAAGTGTCGATGTTAGATCCGAAGTCAATCCTACCTTCTTCGTTCTTGCTCGATAATCGACTATTTGATTAGCCGGAAAAGAAGGATAACTACTAGTCGATAATGTGAGGGTGAGTATTGCTAGGGTGGCCAAAAACCCTCATTTACTCGAGTAAACATTCCAAAGTTACTACAAATTTATAGAGTTTTTAAAAACTCCAAATGAGTTCTGTAGCTTGCTTTCCTATCAAAAAATCAATCAAATACGATCTATAATATCATGTTGTTTCTACCAACAATCCGACACAAGAAAATCTTTCTAGTCTTTCCTTTTTTAATTTTTTTTTTTTGCTTTTTTTTCTCTTTTTCGGTAACTAAAAAAAAGTATTTAGGGGGTTGTTTTGAGGGATGTTTTGTGTCTATTTTAGTGGGTGTTTTAGGGGGTTTTTAGGTGGTTTTGAAGCTTGGTTTGGGGATGTTTCTGGAGATGCTTTGGTGGTTCAAATGGTCTATCCAAAGGGGTTGCTCTATAAGGGTTTTTGGAGTCTGCTATTAGTGTAGGTGCCCAAGATCCAACTATGTATGGGTGAGCTTGAGTTAATGTATCATTGCATTATTTATTTTGATAATAATAAAGAAGTCATTTTATTAATTCTTCTATTTACATGTTTAGTAGAATTAGATAGAAGTCCTTATGATATGCATTTGCAATAGTGATTGATCGAAAAATGTGAGACAAACACTATTGCACATAAATGATATCATTAAATGTCCCAAGTTGTACCATTGTCAAAAATGGACATTGATAAATGCGAAGTAAACTTTGTGAGGGCTATGCTCATGTTCTATGATAGCGAGTAGGAGATCTCACACCTAGTGGCATGGTAATGCCAAAGCAAGTGCTTAGGTGATTTATGTTAGTGAACATGTCATTGGACTTGACTCGCCATGAGAACCCATTTGGTTTTAGTATACGAGAATCTCATACGAGATGGGTACAAATGGCTTTTAGACTTGAAGTCATCATGGCTATCTCATTGGAGGACTTATGCACTTTGACACTTGTTTCGATGGACCCATTAATGGGTTGCACGTGGGTAATTCGTTGGGTGCATTAGGAATCTAATGGATATAATGTATGACTAAGATAAGAAATATCATTCGTTATATACTAAAGGAGTTATCTCATTGCACTTCGATAAATGTACGCTCAAGAAATCTGTGGCCATAGTAGGAGTACACCAATAGAGCATAGTTAGCCTACTCTAAGAGCTAAGACTTTTGAGAATCGAAGAAAACTTGTGCGATCATAATCGAACAAGATTAAAAACCAAGTTCAAGATCACACTTGTGATAAGTTGACATGAGGATCTGAATTGTATGGTAACCATGCTCGTGAAAGATAATAATGGATTAACTAATCCTCCTAGAGAATTGGGTAGTCATGATGCTTTGCTATAGGCTAATCTTGATTTACGTATCAAGAGATTAAAGAGAAATCTTTTATTCTTGATAGATTACCAACATATCTAGGAGTCTATTGAGTCACACGATAAGTTTAAGTATTCACATTACAAATGAGAAACAAAAATATTGAAAAAAGTTTCCAATTATAAAGTTTCCTATTTTGGAAAGAGTTTCCAAAATGAAAAGTTTCCCAAAAATAAAAATTTTCCTATTTTAGAAATTGATTTCCTAATTTAGAAGTTAGTTTAAAATTTAGAAATAGAGAACCTAAAAGGAAAGGAGTTTCCTAATTTAGATTAAAGGGTATTTTGGAAAATTATTTCCTAATGTGGACCTCGTCAAAATAATCTAAGAATATTTATTTGGATAGTTCAAATAAATTAATTGGGCTAAAATAGTTTTGCCTCTATTAGATTTAATTAAAAAGCTTAAAGATAATTTTGGTGGGAGGATAAACATCAACCTTATTGGATAAGGTTGAATGTTTTAAAGATAAACATCAATCTTATTGGATAAGGTTAAATGTTTTAAAGATAATAATCAAATAGTCCACATATAAGATAACTCTTCATTCTTGAAAGATAAGGAAGCAATAACCTAGAGTCCTTTTTGGACTCAAAGTGGCCATTTTCCTTGTCCTCCAAGGACAAGGAAACTCTCCTATAAATATATAGGAGGGAGAGGGAAAATTCGATCAAGACAAAGAAGAAAAAGGGAAGAGAAAATTCGGCCGACCCAAAATTCACCTAGCGCGTATGACTAAGAGAGAAAATGAATGAGAAAATAGTTTTCTCCTAAACCCTAGCAAGAAATATTCTTTCCTTCTCTTTTAAGGTTATCGCAAAATTGCTCGGGATTGATTTCGAGAGGAAATACAAAATTAGGAAAGGTGGAGCTAGCACCTCATTAATTTTGAGTGCTTCTTTGTGGATACTTGGACTGCGTGGATCATCAATAGAGGTTGGACACTTGGATGGCTTTACTGAAAAGGAATTCGGATATGTGCTACAAGAGGTAATCCTTCACTTATAGCTTATTATTCATGTATGTATGGTTAGTAGATTTAATGGCTTGATCTTAAAGCCTTAGATGGAGGAAAATTTTTATTTATTTCGCACCTCCATAGGATGCATGATTCTTCAACTGTTGGTAGCATTTTCGAGCTGATTTTGAAGGGTTTTTGGTAAGTTTTTCGAGTTCGTTTGGGCTAGTTTTAGGGCTGGTTTGTAGCTGCTTTGAGGGATGGTTTAGGGGCTTTGAAGGAGGCTAAAGTAGGGGTTTCAATGGCTATGTTTCAGCTCGAGTTTATGTGAGCGAAAATGCCGGCTAAAAAGGGGGCTATAGGGAGGTCATTTAGAGGGCTATTTCGAAGTCTGTTTTGATGGTTGTTTCGGTTGTTTATGAGAGGGGTTTTGTTGGTGTGAGGCAAGAGAGGAAGTTGCATGAGGGTCGTTACGGACGAGAAGGGTTGATTGTGGAGCTAAAGTGGATGAGAGGGGCTGGTTGTGGAGCTGAAGTCGGAGAGAGAGAGTGGTTGGAAGTGGCATGTGTGTGTGTGGTGGGGTGCGGTAGGTTGGAGAGGGCTGGCTTAGTGCGAGAGAGAACTAGAGAGTGTTGTGTGTGGAGCTAGAGTGGGCGAGAGGGGCTGATTGTGGAGTTAGAGTGGGCGAGAGGGAGAGGCTGGCGGTGGCGTGGGAGGTTGGTATGCCGAAGCTTGGTGCGAGAGTGCTTGTGGCGACTGGAAATGGGTGAAGGTGATGATGAGCAATCTAGGTAAAAAAATGCATGAAGTGGTTTTATATGTGGGTTGTAAGCCAAATGTCATTTTAGTCCTTGGTTTCTTCCCATGCATTAATTTGAGATCGATTTTGCTTCTTTTTTTTATTTTAATTTGAGCCTCCCATTGCAAATAATTGAGACTTTTATTTTAATTTGTTCCATTTCTACCCCTTTTATTTTAATTAAAGGACTTAAAGCTTTGATTTTTTTTCAATTATGCCCTTGATTGTTTTTTAATTGTTTCCAACCCTATATTTTTCTCAATTAGCTCAATTCTTAGAATTAATCTAAAGTAGACCATTCTAATCGCTCTTTTTTTCTTTATTTTTTTCTATTTTTATTGTTTTATTTTATCATTTTTTTGGGGTATTTCCATAATAATATAAATAAATAAATAAATAAAGGGAGAAAAATTAGGTGCTAACACAAGTTATTAACCTCTATAAGTTAAGATCTGTCCTTCAATATCACGGAGCATCTCTTTTTCTTAAAAAATGAAATAAAAGATTATTTTATTGTCCAAGGGTGATTTCAGTTCAAATTAAAAGATGTAAACTTTAGAAATTCTGTAATGAATGAATGAAAAAACTAGGTAAGAAGTAATTATCAATATAAATATGATATATCCGAGATCAGCTAGGTCTAGATTAATATCACAAAAATGGTGAAATAGAATGAATCAATGGCATATGATTCAAAATAAAGATTTACACAAATGGAATTTATATGAAAAAGACCAATTAATTCATTACGAAAAACAAAATAATTTTGAAGTAGATTCATTATCGAACCAAAAAGATAATTTTAAAAAATACTATAGATATAATATTTTATTATATAAATCCATTAATTATGAAAATAAGAAAGACTCATCTATTTATGAATTATCATTCCAATTACATAATAAGCAAGAGATTTTTTATAATTAAAAAATCATCAAAAACGAATTATTTGATATATTGGGAGGTATCCCTGTCAATAAGCATCTAGCAGAAGATGATATTATCGATATGAAAAAAAGCTCGCATAAAAAATATTTGGATCGGAGAATTCTCCATTTTTGTCTTAGAAAGAAAGTCAATATTGAATCTTGGATTGATACCAAAACCAAAAAAAAAAAAAAAAACCTTTTTAATTGGATGAGAATGAAGCTGATTGTAGCTTATGGATCTAATATTTTGTCTTTTCCGCACCAAGTAGATGTATGGCCCTCCAAATGCAGGGGAATTTGCATCTATTTAACTACTATTACTAGAGGTAGCATTCAAATTATTATTCTTCTATTTTAAAATTTTTCATTGCATTTCTTTTTCTATTTGATAGCATGCTGGCCAATAATTCTTTGTGTGCGATGAACTAGGTTGACATGTTGAAGTTAGGGGTGTTATGCAATCCTTAAATGACCTGGTCTGCTTGTTTGTGGGTCCAATGCTAGCACTTATATCTAACAAATTATGGAATCAGAGGAAAATTATTGTGTGACTATGGATGGAGAATGAGCACTAAAAGAATGATGGTGACATGGACAGTCTATACATAAGTTTTGTCTGACATAGGATCCAATGCTACATGCATACTTACTGAGAGGATAACAAATTATGTAAGTTGAGGAAAATTTAATGCGTGAGAAGGTATTAAAAGGGACACGTACTGTATTTTACAGCTAAATTCATGCCAATAACTAGTGCGACAAGATTCTTTATTAGACAAACTGAATCAAACTGGTGGTGGATATCTCATCTAAGCCTGTAAGAAAGAGTGGACATTATGTTTGATAACCAAGGTCTTCTATGCATGTTTAATGAAGAAATTTTCTGATTTATTTGATGGCGACATTTTCTGGTTTTTTTTTTTTTTTTTTGTGGCAGCTGTTTGGAAATTATTTCAGCTAGCTTATTGTAAAATCTTTTTCGTGATTGACTTTCCTTCTTATTTTCAGCTGATCTCCTAATTATATGTTGAGGCCACTTTTTATAGTTGCTTATATTCTATGTGATCAGTGTTGTCCGGAAATTTTATCAACTTTGGTGTTGTTGAATAGTATGGCGTTACTACATTTAAAGATGTTCTTAATGCTATTCTGAAAGCGATATTGCTAATTTCTTTGGCTGATATATGGGCTTTTAGAAAGGTAGACATTGCCTTTGATTTCAGACTTTCAAGCCTAGGGATTGTCAAAATCTTTCGGATGTATACATGCAATCTATTAAAGATCAGTTATTATTACCTTGGAAATCCAATGATGTCTTGGCCCCTTAGCAGCATTCCATAGGAAGTCAGCCATGATACTTTTCAATTGGTGAATTTATATTTTGGGAAATGGGATAGCAGTACGAGTATGAATCGGCATGCTGCAAACTACTGACCTGAGTAAAGTAATTCTGGAACAAAAAAAAGTGGCTTTGTTTCCAACCTCTAATACGAGCATTTAATCTGCTCTGCATATGCTGAAAATATACCTTTTTAAGTCAACCATAGAATAACAAGACCCTTAAATAAGTCATCGAAAGGTGCATATTGCTACATCCTATCCAGCTCTTAATATGGGATATCCGAGCAACAATCATATGTTCAGGTGCATAGAAACCACTCCTTAAAAGATTCAATAACTGACATGAATACTTCTCGTATTACGCAATCAATTGTCGAAGGTACTGTAGGGACCTCTTAGAACCCTTAGTAAATATAAGCATATCATCTGCATAGAACAAGTGAGACACCACCATGGCACTCCTACCTATCCCATAAGATACTGAGTTTCCTTCCTGAATACCTTTATTAAGATTAGCAGATAAAACTTGTTGGACTAAGATAAACAACAGAGAAGGTGACAGATCCCTTGCCCACCACCCCTACTAGAGTTGAAACACTTGAAGTTCATCCCTTAGATTCTAATAGTAGACCATATGTTATTAATTCACTGGACATTTGTTTTCTTGCAGCAATTTTGTACCTAATCATATGAGTGTTTTGTGACTGATGATCATATAAAACTATTGGAATAAGTTGTTCAAAAAATTGCCTTAATTCTTCAAGCATACATGGATCTGGTAATGCATACCTTCTTCAAATTTCTTTCACTTGAAATTCATTGAATGCCAACAAAATTCCTATTTGTAGAGCAATAAGGCAATCAATGACACCTTAAGTATCTTCTTCAAAGTGGCAACAAGGTCAGTCATAATTCTACGTGATTCTGCTTAAAGATGCGTTATAGCTCTTGGTTCGTTCTTGTTTTATGAAGATCAGCATTTTTTTAGGTTCAATACATGGAAGGGAGGCTGCATTTGGAGTTGGACACTATTAAATCATTAAATTTACTTTATCACCTAACGTTAATGCAGAGCATCTTTTTCACTCCTATTTAAATATACAATTTAAATTACTTAGTTTCTAAGGTTATAACTATATTCAATACTCCTTTTGTCTTCATTTGTAGGTGGAGAACTTTCCATTTTCAAAAGATCGCAGACATTTTCGGAATAGAAAGATGTTCTACTATGCCATGGGCTTGTTGATTTTCTAGGAGTCTTTTGAAATTTAGATCTTCAATGAACCAGTGCAAAAATGCCCTCCCCTAACTAATGTCCTACTGGTGAAATCTGAGACAAAGCTGTAGTTTCATTCAACAAATGGTATTTTCATACCATGTCAATGAGTGGGTCATCCTTCCTTCCTGATGCAAATCTTTCCAAAATCTTAAAAAAGGATAAATATCCTATATCTTCTGCTTAAGAAAACATTAAAAATGGATACTTATCTTTTATTCATTTTCTCACTTGTAGAAGCTTTATATACTAGGAACATTCTCTGTCCCATTCGAGCAAGTCAAATTTTCCCTTTTTATGTTTGGAAGACAACAGCACAAAAAAAAAATCCGTCGTGCAGGTAACAATTCCATTGTTGAAATTTATTGCTGAGATGGTGCAGAACAAGTCCAAGAGATTTGACTTTTTTTTCATCACCTCCTAATGGCCTGATACTTTTTCGAAAGTCAGTTAGCTGATTGTAGCTTATGGATCTAATATTTTGTCTTTTCCCCACCAAGTAGATATATGGCCCTCCAAATGCAAGGGAATTTGCATCTGTTTAACTATTGTTACTAGAGGTATGCATTCAAATTATTATTCTTTTATTTTAAAATTTTTCATTGCATTTCTTTTTCTATTTAATAGCATGCTGGCCAATAATTCTTTGTGTGCGATGAACAAGTAGACTAGAAGGGTAAATAGACGTTTTATGTGGAATGAAGCAGCTAAGTATATCAATCATATATTTTTATGTTGCAAGTAAACTCAAAGCTTATAGGTGTTGATCTTTGGGATAGGATTTTGTTGTGCGAGTTTTTTGTATGGGCCTGAGGCCATAATTGGAGATGCTTATATAATGGGTTACTGCTAATATTTGCAACTTCCAACTACAATGGTGTGCCAATTTCCTTTTATTTTTTCTTCTTGGTGTGTGCGTGTGGGGGGTTAATCGGGGTCGGAGTGCAATCTCTGCATTTGTTGCAATATATAACTAAGGAGCATCACCAATCCGGTATTCGAGTAATAACTAAGGAGGACCACCAAACTAGTATTCGGGTAAAGAGGCAAAAGTTGCTTGAATGCAAAGGAACAAGTTCTCACATGCAATAGGATTAAATGTAAAGAAATCGCACTTTGATTATGTAGTCCAAGATACATTTATACATTTATCTGTTCTTTACCTCCTTTTCTTATATTTCATATTCTTTTTCTTTTTTGGAAGTTCTTACAGATATTCTCAACTCGGTAAGCAAAGACTTAATCATGCTATTCGACATTCTTCCATCATCTTATGAATTCTTATGTCCATGTTTAGGAATTGCATCCTTCGAAGTAAATTAATTTGAAATATAAGTGCCGAAACCCCCATTCGCTTTATCCCTTTCAAATCGGTTTCATATTTTACGATTCTTTTTAATTTTTTTTTTTTGTAGCATTTTTATA